AAATATTTAATAATTTCTTGTATAATATAGTTTCGGCACTAGTATACGGATAATTCGTTTGAGCACGTATTTCACAATACTCATGCGAATAGCATGTCGCGATAAAGACAACTTTCACAGAAATCTTTCGCCATCTTAGATACATTTCAATGTTTAAATTTTATTTGTAAAGTATCGCGAGTATTGAATATGACAAATTTCCTGCGTTCTTATTTTTTTGCTATAGTATGCACACGTCTAATTAATATCGACATACGAACAAAATATGACATGATCGCATAATATTTAGGATGCATTCAGCTTTCATGCTTACGATGTAAATATTAGTTCATCCTTGTTTATCAAATATCAAACAAGGATAAATGATATTTGCAAGCACTATAAACGCAAAACAAGGGGTACTCTTCGGAATTATTTACAACTGCACTTAATTTTAATAAACTATTTCTTTCAACTGATAGATGCTGTTACAAATCAAACAATGGGAAGAGAAGAGAAATGAAAAGCAGGCTTGACAATTTTGTGAGGAGGAGGAAGAGGAGGCCCAAGAAAAGCAATGGATCAATTTTACGGTAAGCAAGCTTATTGCTCACTTACATAAAAAATTAGTCATTTCTTCCCATTAGATTGTTTTATTTTAATAATGAAAAATAATAATAAAAAAAAAAGAATTAATCTAAAACATTACGGAAATTTAATCTCATAAAGACAATTTTGAGAAAATGTATAATTTTAATGGATAAAATGTATTATTTTAATGGATATGTAATTGAAAAACTATTGAAAAATTCAATGTGTATAAAAATTAATTTTTTCAATTATTGATTATTTTGAATGCTATTTTAACTTGTATCTTGTACGTTACAGAATCATGTAATGCACATAGCTGATAACTCCACTGCTGCGCATCAATCGGTCTTTTATTGGAACGCCCAGTCACTGGCCGCGATCAAACCATTAGCCAGTTAGTGAAGATGCAGTAAAATATAATGGAGACTTTGCACAGCTCTGTACTACTGAGAGGTTGGGGCATCGGTCGGTGAGTGACAAAAATTTTATCAGGTAACGAATCTGTATAAAATGTACAGATCTATCATTATATTAAAAATGAATATAACGCTTTATAAACCCATTACTTGAAAATGAATTAGCTACAAACGATTATGACACATATTTAATCTTGGATTTGTTTATCATTATTTGACAACTTGATTATAGCATCTTGATCT